GTAGTAGTAGTAGTAGTAGCAGTAGTAGTAGTAGTAACACTTGCAGAAGTACTGACAAAGTAGTACGACCCTCGCACTACCCTTCGGCAATAGTGTGGTACAAGTCGTAACTACTGGTCGTACTAGTCGTAAAAGTAATAGTAGTCGTAGTAGTAGTAGAACTAGTAATTGTATGTAATTGTATACAGGAGTCGTAGTATTGGTAGTAGTAGAAATAATAGTAGTAGTCGTAGCACACATAGCAATAATAGTAATACTAGTGCTAGTACTCGTACTCCCTCTCGTGCCTCGTGTCGTACAAGTCTAAGTTATCGTAGGCGTAGTAGACTAGCACTAGTCTAGTATTCGCATTAAGGCCGCCCTCCAACTGTCGCAAAATACCCCGGTTACCGTGGCAGAAAACACCGCTTACCAGCGCGGAAAACATCACCGTCGCCAAAAACACCGGTTGCCAGTGCAGTAAACACCCGGGGCCGTCGCAAAAAACACCGAGGAACCGACGCAGAAAACACCGGCTCGTAACCGACGCAAAAAGCACCAACCCTGGCCACGGTAGCAAAAAACACCGCTTACCGACGCAAAAAACACGAAGCCCTTATGGAGCATGTTCAATTTGCAACTTATATATATATACATACTTATATATATATATGTGTGTGTGTATGCCTATACGATCGTGTATATAAAAGATTATTGTTATTATTACTATTATTATTAATTATTATTAAGTTTTAAAATATATTATTAATTATTATATTATAATATAATATAATATAATCTAATATAATATAATATTATTTTATTTTATATTATTTTATATTATATTATTTTATATTATATTATTTTATATTATTTATTTATTTATTTATTCATTTATTTATGTTTTTTTAATGTATTTAATTATTTGCGTATTTTTTATTTATGTATTTATTTATTTATGTTTTTTATTTATGTATGTATTTATTAATTGAGGTTTTTTTAAAATTTATTTATGTATTTATTTATTTATGTATGTATGTATTTATTTTTATTTATTTATTTATCTATCGATTTTATTATTTTTTTGTTTATTCGTGGATTTATTTTTGGTGTATTTAGTTATTTATGTGTTGTTATCATTATTATTATTTATATATATATAGTACTATATATATATATACGTATTGTACTATATATATATATATACATGTATTGTATTATATATATTATTAAATTATATATATATGTATTATATTTTATATATGTATTATATTTTGGACTTTCAATGACAAAGGAAAGTGTTTATTGTTTCATGAATTCTGGGATTATAAGGCTTCCCATCTTCCGTTTTTGCATTGGATTGGTTACATGGCACACTTGAGTATATTGGTTTCAACCTCAGATTTTCAACATCTTCAACTAGTTTCACTGTTAAGGCCAGCATACTGTGCCATGCTTCGGCTGAGGTCTCGACAGTGCCATGGATGCTAGTAGCCTGAGCCCCGAGCACGAATGTGACCGAGTGTCGCATGGGTTTGGGCATGTTTGGGATGTAATTTAAAAAACAACATTTTCTACTTCCGATGACTTCACGTCTGTGTGTTTTTCAATCCTTCAGTTGCGGCGCCTGGTGCATGCATTTTTTTCAGTTTTCGTTTCTTTGACGACGCTTCTATTCCGGGGATGATAAGCTCAGGTTTGCCCATTCGTTTGACGGGCTTAGCTGCCCGGGACCCGAATCAGCTGGACAGATCATTGCACATCAAACAGCTGGGTAACCAATCGTGTGTGTTGTCTCAGGACATGTAGTCTTGCCAGATCTTGCCAGAGTTCCTGAATTTGCAACTGGTTGATGTGCATGTTGTTCAACCCTTATGAGGAGCTCACCAGGTCATCTCAAAAGCATCAAGACCCAGGGACGAATAAGATCATGGCTGGAGCACAGGACAGGACAAATGGTCTGCTCATCTCTGCCAGAGCTCAGATGGTTCAAAATTCTGGTGCGCATGAAGATTTCAAAACGTAAAAGATGTTGGCATGCCCTGGTGCGATGACATTTTTGACCAGGGGAGCCAAAGCCAAAGTCTTCCAGAGACATGGATATTTAAAAAAGGTGAAACTACATTAGCATAGCTACAGCCTTTCATTCAGCATAGCGCCATAGCGCTGCAGACTGGGGCTCCAACTAGTGGACGCCGCCTTTTCAGCCTCAGTTCATTGCCATGGCCGCCATGAAGGTGTGCAGAATGCTTTGTGCAACGGGATTCTGTCTTCGGCTGGTGGTCACGCTGGCTGAGTCGGAGGGGTTTGCGGAGGAGATTTGGCCTTGGGCCTGGTACTGAAAATTGCATCAAAATGAGTGAAGGATGCTACGCGTCAAGTGTAAGTGAATGTGTCGCCGCAGTTTCTGCAGGCCAAAAGCTCTCCCGACTTTACCTCCTTCACTCTTCCTTCCTTTTTCAAATCGTTCCCGTTCTTTCCAGTCTTTCCGTTCTTTCCTTTCCGTACTTTCTGTGCAGCGCTGGGTCTACCTGTCCAGGAAGCGCAGCTTCTGCAGACCCATTGGAAGGGCTCATCCATGTGGGACAGTCTCGGCACCCGAGAGGTTTTTGCAGACGCATCTCTGTACCAGGCCTGACAGGACTCTCCCAAACTACCCTTCAACCCGTTTGAACCAGCCTTGGCTGTCACAATGTTTTCGGGATTCCGACAAGAATGAAGTGGCGTAAGAAATATGTAGACATCTAATATACCATGATGAAACGAAGTTTAATAAGACATCAAGAGACCCACGGTCAGGTCATGTCATCTTGCGACGGCCACGGCATCTCCAGAGAGTGCTGGGCTTCAAAGTTTGCGAGTTTTGACCGCAACAGCGATGGCATTATCTCTGCTGAAGATCTACAGTCTGACGCAAAGCAGTGGAGTCCCTTTGTCGCTGTTGGGAGTTGTGAGTGGGGCATATGGTTAGACGTGCAAGGCTTGGTGACTTTGAAGCGGCTTGCAGTAAAAAATGCAGATGGCCATCCCTGAGTCTGACTCGTATGCATTGGTCGTCCAAGTAGGGAATAGTGTGAGTTCAGAACTCTCTTCAGGCACTCAAAGGTAGAACTTAGATGAACTTAGACCATGTGGCATTGGTATCGAGCTGTAGGCATCACACCTCCTATTCATACACTAGTCAAAACATAGCCGCATGAAGTGGCATGGCGCGACATGATTCCCTGGAATATGCAAAAACACATCACTAGATACAAAGGAGATCCCCGAAGGTTATATACATCATCTCCATCGCATTCCAAAAGGTTCCGCGCGCATTGAACGAAGGGTCCAAACCAGATCGAAGCCATGTAGTCCAGTATGGAAATTCACGGGAAGTCCTTAAAGATTAGCACAGAGGTTCTTGGGTTGTGCTTCAAAAATCGGCAAGAGACGAACGATTGTGCGGGTACGCGGAGTTGATCAGACTCCATATCAGCCGTGGTATAGCTCTCTTCATTGGGCAACCAGCTATGCTCACGGGGTTGTCCTCCTCCACAGGAACTGGATTAGAGGTTTCACATTGTTTCGCATCTATCCAGATGTTGCACACATGCACAGAGGCAGGCAGACACTCACATACCCGTAGGTGTTTGTGCAAACAGTAGCGCCAATGCTATCAAAAATCTGCTTTGGGTAAAGATAACGGTCAGTTCACTATCAGTGATTTCACATGCCCATCGGCACAATGCCAAAAGAATTCCTTGAAGATGCTTTCGCAGCGGGACACAATGGCTGGTGCGAGGAGCTGTCCAGAACTTTACCCGCCAGGAGGTTCGAGCTGGCTTGGCTTTGGCAGCTGAATGGTTTCCTCACGAGGCCTGGCGTATCAACACACACACACACACGTGTCACGACCTGAAAATGATACAGATTATACAGGCTGTACCCACTCAGCACAAACACTTTTGTATTCATTACACCAAAAAAACCTGGCAACAGTGGCCGGTAGAAAGCAGCAACAAAAGCCAGGTGTTTTCTAGCTATGGACCTAGAGTCTTCGTACCCCGGGATCCATGAAGTTGCAGATCATATTTTTATTTGGTTTGGCGCATTGTTGGTGAGTCTGGCACCTTCGTCCAACCAACTCCTAGATGATTAGTGAGTGGTCAGAAGTCTATTGGGTGTCTCTGCAGCACCAAAATGCAGACCCCCACAGTCCCACAATTTAGTGCATCTACTCTAGGGAGGCAGCCTTCGCCAACTTCAGGGTGCAGAATAGTTTTCTTTTATCTGCTGATGGAACCGCCAGGAAAGTAGTTCTCAATATGAACTGTAAAGTGAAAGATTTACAGCGACCTTTCGTGCATTTGTTCAGATGCCTCTCAAGGCATCCCGGCTGATCATGCATGCGCCCTTCATCACAGAGTTGATATTGCAGAATGATCTTGACAATCCAGAGCTGGACAAGGACCGAGCAGTTCAATCTGAAAGCAGTGTGCGTGTGTGGAACATCTGAATAGATGTAAAACTTCTAACTGATGTTTTCGTTTTTTGCTGCTTATTTGGCTTTGGTTTTTTCATGTAATGACAGTAATGTTTTTAATTCAGGGGGTGCCGGGGGCACTGGTGAGACCGGCACTAACAAAGACACTCATCAGTTGCCTGTGATATCGATGGGGACGCTCATCGACGTACTTGCTTCGCTTTTCATGTCAATTTTCTGCAATGGGATGTGGCTAACCCAAGAACCACCATGCCGTTTCCAAACAACCCGTTTTCAATTTTCTCGTTTTGCACGGTTTTCGCAATCTGAATTTCCAATGTCAATAGAGGATGAACGCGCTGCATCAGAACAATTTGAGTCTTCTAGCAAGGACATTGAAAGACTTTCTTCGCACTGTTTCTCACTCCTGATCATCCAATGGCTCCTGTCAGGTGTAAATGAAGTGTTTTTGCACGCACGATGCATTCCACATCAGTAATTCGATAAGATGTTTCTGAGCAAGTGTGTGATTCATGCTGGATTCGTCAAGGTGGCATGAACCCTTCGGGGAATACCTTTCCAGGTAAAGATCTGACACGTTGAAACGACTTCCGAATTTACACTTTTGAATTAGTAATTTGTCTAAGTAAAGTGAAACTGCCGGCCTTTTTTCATCGTCTCACATGTCGGTCGGGTGAGTGTTGAACAGTGTGCCGCTGTGACTGGCATCACCGTTTTTGAGACTTCTCCTGTTCTGCATAGCTGGAAGCTGCGACAACATCCTTCTTGTTCTTTTTCACTGCTGTTCGAGAGCTTGACAGACATGCATTATCGGTGCATCATGATGGAATGTCCAGGCAGGCACATGACTTTACGTGTGGTCTTTTTTCTTTTTATGGTCGTTGGTGAGGTTCAATTGTGCACGTAATTCAGGGGTTGACAACTTCAGCTGTCGATAGGGGTGACTTGACTTCTGGCCTTTGAGCCTAACAAGGGGAAACTGCATGTCAATGTGGATGCATCATTTTTCAACAACTAGGTCCCCATTGGTCCCCTATCTCATGCGTGCTCCCTTTCTAGGTCAGGTTTGGGTCCTTCGCGTGCTGAGGTAGGTTTTGGCTCTCGCCTTGTTGGTTGTGTCAGGCGCTTCTGTCCGCCCCCTCCTCCTCTGGTTGGTTTTTGGCCCGTCGTCCGTCAGCTTTTTCTTTTCCCTTGCCCTTTCAGGGTTTGCCCGTTTCGGGCTAGGTGTGTTGGTGTTGGTGTTTTCTCCTTCCCTTTTCATTTTTGCGTTCCCCCTCTTGTGTTCCGGCAGTAATTGTCATTTCATCTTCATCGTCATTTCATTTCCATTTCTCTCTCATTTTCACCTTCATCTCATTTGTCGGGGCCTTAAATGCCCCGCGGCAGCGGGGCGTGTGTGTGGAACATCTGAATAGATGTAAAACTTCTAACTGATGTTTTCGTTTTTTGCTGCTTATTTGGCTTTGGTTTTTTCATGTAATGACAGTAACGTTTTTAATGCAGGGGGTGCCGGGGGCACTGATGAGACCGGCACTAACAAAGACACTCATCAGTTGCCTGTGATATCGATGGGGACGCTCATCGACGTACCTGCTTCGCTTTTCATGTCAATTTTCTGCAATGGGATGTGGCTAACCCAAGAACCACCATGCCGTTTCCAAACAACCCGTTTTCAATTTTCTCGTTTTGCACGGTTTTCGCAATCTGAATTTCCAATGTCAATAGAGGATGAACGCGCTGCATCAGAACAATTTGAGTCTTCTAGCAAGGACATTGAAAGACTTTCTTCGCACTGTTTCTCACTCCTGATCATCCAATGGCTCCTGTCAGGTGTAACTGAAGTGTTTTTGCACGCACGATGCATTCCACATCAGTAACTCGATGAGATGTTTCTGAGCAAGTGTGTGTGCGTTGAGTTCATTGGTTCTTAAGACAATAGGATTGAAATGGTCTTGTGTCTGAAAGGTTTAGGGCTGTGCTGTTGATGCCTTCTGTGATCCACCACGGTCAACAGCGAAAAGAAACAGCCAGGATTACCAGGTACAGTAATACCACCAATGTCCTTTGCATTGTTCAATCAGGGACAGGGGCTTGGGACTTAGCTTTGATCAAAAAATGAGATGATATGAGAAGGTTGTTTCTCCCAAGGCTGCCGGCCATGCTTTGTTCTGCAGGTCCCTGCTCCCCAAGATCATCTACCAAAGTTGAAACATGCCTTGATAACTCCAATCCCCCTGACTGGTGGTGACAATTCGACCATGGCCGGTGACAACTCGACTGTGGGCGGTGACAACTCGACCATGGGCGATGACCACTCGACCTTGATCCCAGCTGAGTGTGTGGGAGGGGTAGTAAAAGTTGCAGTCAGCAGCTTGAATCTTGGCGGCAGAGGTAACAAAAAAAGAGCCCCCTGGGTCATGTAATTGCTCACATTGTGTTGTTAACCTCTGTTGCGTTCGAAACAATTTGTGAGAGCCTTCCTTGTTAATTCTACGCTCGTAAAGTCTTGTTTTCATTTACACAATCTGTCCCTTCATGTTTTCTTCATCGCGATTGTTCCGCAACCAAGGAGCTTGATGTTCGGCATCCTCCATTTGGCAACACCAAGCGAGACATTCATCGCTGATTTGATACAGAAAAGCAAGAGTGCGGTAGTTGAAAGAAACTCAAGCTGACATTGTTTTGCTGTTTTGGAGAGCCGAGTTTTTCATACCGTACATCTAATGATTCTGTGTCAAAGAATCCGGGTTGTTCAATCTCTTTCAAGGAATCTTGTCCATTCTCCACGATGGAAATTCTGATTCGTCTGTGCGCATCGAGAACATCGAGAACATTGCACTCAAAGTGTGGCGAGTCTTTGACATTCTGCATGAAGAAGGCTTGTTCAGAGTCTCGGCTCCGTTGTATACCCACCCGCACAGCTTCGTCACTCCTAGCTGACGCTTAGTGCCTGAGGGCATGCGACATCATGTGACCATTCAGCTTTCTGTTCTGTTCTTTGGTCATAACTGTCATCATTTGGCGTCAAGTGTTCTTTCTTGTAGGAAGAAGTGCGCATAGATGCCAGACATTGAGATTGGTGGATATGGGTGGACGTTCCATTACATATTTGCTTTGCGTGTACCCTTTGTATGTTGAGGGTTGTGATTTCTTGTGCTGATGACATCTGATGACGATGGCAATGTTGATTGATTATGAAGAACGGCTAGATGATTACGGTGAACATGGTGGTTATACGTGATTATGACTTCATTTCATACCACATGCCCTCCTAGTAGTCTTGTGTATCTAGGACACACAGCTTGGGTGTCTTCTATTGTTTCGGTCCAACCTATGTTTGAAGCGACAAACACACGAAGTAGGGTTGTGACCTTAATGGAAAACCGCGCGCGAAGAGCCGAAGGTTAGACTGCATAGACTGCTACTGCAAAGATCTAGGACTCCTAGAAGACTCATGGAAGCTGAGGTCAGATCCTGGAATATACTCTCAAGAACTTAAGCTGGTGGAAGGCATCCTTGGTGATTGTTCGCGCTGCAGCAACGCTGGCATCCTGGTATGCCAGTGGCACTGTGTCCCTCAGTGACAAAAGAGGCTTGATCGAATTTTCCAGCTAGGAGGAGAATTCTAAACTATAGCCTGCCACTCACACGAGATACAGTCCTGCTTTTGAGCCGTCAAAATCTAAATGCAGAACATGTCCCCACTGCGTCAAAGCCACACCTGCAAGAGTGTCCAAATCATTCGCAAATGCTGGAAATAGCCTTCAGCATGACTCCTTGTATTCAAGACCTAATCACATAGAAATCGCCACTGTACCTCCCAGAAAAACTCTCCATGCCATGCAGTCTTGAGGAGATAAACAAAATCAGCTTTCAAACTTTGGACAGTTTCCGACTGAGATCACGCATCGCAGTTTTCCAAGACATCATTCTCAGTTTGTGTCATTGTGTCCAGTGTGGCAGTGGTTCAGGTTGCTGCTGTTGCAGATTGGCTTAGCGGTGCCGAATGCTGCGGACTTGATTTCTGGACTCAAAGAAGTCCACGCAGAGTGCCATTTGCCGGTGTAACATGGTGTAACAGCACATAACAGCACTACAGCTTCGTTGATTCAAAGCAGTCGACGATTTTTTGGTGCAAAATGGTTAACAGCAACCGGGCCGGGCGAGCAAGGTGATTGCAGGCGCAGATTCTGCTAGTGTTGCTAGCATTGTTTTGGTGTTTATTTTCAGGGATGCGCAGAGGATCAGCACAAAAATCATGCCCGGAATTTAACATTTCCATGGTCATTTGCTGTAAGCTGAGGTTACCATTGACATTTGGACTACCTCATCAAACACCTGCGAGGCCTCTCCGAACCCTTGCAGATGTTGTCAGTATCCGAAAAAGAGCTTTCGATGGGAACCAACAATGCCTCCACTTTCAATCCAATGAAATTTCCATCCAGGATCTGATTAAGCTGCAGGCTCTCGCTCCTCAATCAGAGACTTTCTCAACAACTTGCATAATTCTAAAAGAAGGACAAGGAGAAATAAAATGAAATAAAGCCAAAATGAGATATATAATATAATCCAGTCCTGGTGGCCACGATTCATCCCCTCTGAATTCGATTACATGACAAAAGAAGCACCCGATTACTGGATTACAGCTTTCCTCGCCACAGTTGCATCATACCACTGAGACGGATCCAAAAGAGGTGGGGCGCAGTCTAGAGTTGACAGATTATACATCCAAAGCAGGTGTATGAAAGGGCAAATTATCAGAGAACACAGACATGAATCGTGAAGGGATACTAGTAAGTTGAAGAGTGCCAAGGTAAAGAGGCTGGAAAGAATTCAAATATGAGAGGCTTTATGCTAAGTTGACTAGGGAAAATTAGAGGCGAAGAGCACCATGGGAAAAGCAGAGAGCGCATGGAGATGCTTGAAGTATAAAAAGAAGACTGGACGCTGTGAGTACCCAAGTAAGCTTAGATGAAGAAAAAACCTCCACAAGAAGCGACTGTAATCATGCAATCCTTAATTTCGCAGCTTTCCAAAAGAAGGTGGGCTGAGTCTCTCCGAGTGGCAAGCTTTTCTTGAGCCACTTCCCCTACGGCCCTAGTCTTCACCCAGGTCACTGTGGAGTGGTCTGGACCAATCGCTTGTTTGTCAGCCAGAATCTGAGAGCCGTGCTTCCGAAGGTGCAAGTGCCCCTTCAAGTCGACCACTTGTGACAGAATTGTCTCAGAGAAATATGACAAGACTCAAACCATCGAAGAACTTCCATCAATTTATATCAGTTTCCCAAGCTGCCTTAGGTGTTGCTGTTGAAATGCTAGAGCTGTCGAGTTGGCCCCCACTTGCCAGTGCTATTCTCAGGTGCACGTGGACCGCCGCTGGGCCAAGGAACAGGCCGGCATTGTCTTGGACAAAATTGATTGTGCCAAGTCAAAGACCTAAAAAGCCAAGCGGGCCAGACTTATATTCCATTCAGAGACTTGAGGTAACCAGGTTTCGAGTTGACAAAGCCTCATATGGTCGACGTGGGGCATTTTGATCAGACAAAAATGCAAGAGCTTTCAACTGTTTCAACTGTTTCAACTGTTTCAACCTACATTTAAGATGAACGTCAACGAGTCAACATGCTCAGCAAATTGGATGGGGCATTCCCAACTTTGGTGTCAAGATCCATGAAGTTTCCACAGTGTCATTCCAGTAGATATAGGCACTGGACAAGGAGGATCCAATGCAATTGACAGTCTGCAGCTGTCAGGAGGAACAAACAATGGGTACAACTGGTCTTCGGCAGCTACCCCAGCAAAAACAAGTATACCAACACGGAGACCACCACTTGTCAGCCAAGACGGTTGCCAATTACGTGTTTGTGTGTGTGTTTGTTATGAATCTATTCGCATACCAAAGCTCTAAGTTTCAACGCGTGCCAAGTTTGATACCATTCAACACGAGTTCATTGATGTTTTTACAAATAGAAAATCAGCTCCTTCTTTGAAACAAATTGCCAAGGAGAAAACATTGAAAATGCCTTGTCTGCACAAGTGTGATCTACATCAACTCTGCCATACATCCAGTGGCCTCCTAGGGTGGTGCACATGAATGGAGTCCACGTCAAGTTTCGGCAAATGGGCTCCTTCTATTTCTTCCACGAGCAGGTCAAAACGGTTGATCAGACTCCACGGTCGATTGCACTTGTTTGGGTTCTAAGTTTTACTCTTGACCCTTTCAAAAGCCGGGCAAGCACTGGCAGCATTCTCGAAATCGGAATGTATTTTTAGCCGCTCATTGAAAATCACCTTGGATATAGCCACTGGAATTCTGGAAATGCATTCACAAGACATCAAGACTAAGAATTACTGAGACCAAATTTTAAATTGACCAATTTCAAAGTCCCTTGAAAATACTTTGCAGGTGAGCTTCAAAATGCTTCAAATAAACTTTAGGTGTCCATTCGCTGGTGACCTGGACTCAGAACCTGCTGCGGAACATCACCGTGGTTTTGCTGTGGGTTCAGTCAGGGACCCAGGGACAAAATCAAAACCAGGGATTTCTGGAAACTTCCGTCAGTTTTGGAGTCAAAGAAGATATCTCGAATCACTCGGCCTGTTTTACTACGCAGCATGAGAAGCTGGGTTGACATCCTGCTTTCCCCTGCTGGGTTGCGGGAGTTGTACCAAGGTTTCCTCTCTTGATTTGCTACTGGTCGTAGTCTCAAGACACCAAGCTAGTCCTATGCAGCGGTTTGTGCTGCACCACGCGAAGACACAGAAGGCATCTCACGCAAACATGCGAGCGATCGTGTCTTCCAAAGGCAAGGCTTTCATGTCAAAGACAAGAAGATCAAGAAGTTGAACTGTCAAAGCAGCATTTGCAAATTGCTGATTGGACTCATATCTAAACAGTCTATTCAGATACGATATATATATATAATTATATATATATAACCAGGGTATATAAGTTGTACGTTTACACAACCTATTACAAATCGAAATAAACAATTCCAAACTTGAAATGTCCAGATTCCCGCAGAAAAAGGCCCCAATGCGCCCAGGTTTTGCATGCTTGTCTTGGGCATGCTGTCCAGTATCTACAGTGCTGTTTTGCATCAGGACTATCTTTGAGATGTGTTGTATTGTTAGCCAAGGATTCAAGCAAATGTACATCAGTTGCAATTATGACTTGTCCACTCACACACTCGTGCAGAGGCAAAATACAATAAAACACCACCGACGCATCCTGCGCGAATGAAATTGCCTTGCATTGCGCCTTGCATGTCCGGCTGCAGGAAGTTAATGTGGCCGAGGGCCTCAAGGGTTTCTCAGTGAGACTTCTGACCTACAGCAGCGCGTTCCTTGACTGCCAAGCCATCAACAATTAGCGGTAGTTCTCACACAAAAGACCCATGTACAAAGAGAGACAGAAGGAGATTGATTCTAGCAGTATCTTTGGACTTTACTTGACAAATCTGTGACTAAATTCAATACTACTGGTGCTGTGTGAACGGAAAGAAAAGGCCTTGGTGCAAGAATTTCTCCAAGTCACAAAAGGTAGCATCACATACAGGCAATGCGAGGCAAATCTATATTTGATTCGTTTCTATTTCAAATTTAAGCACGTTTTCTATTCTTCAGCAAGGGTGGCTGCAACTATGTTCGATTCCATCCTTGTCATTGGTCTTCATCAGCAGAGTAGCATGGTCAGCAACAAAATTATCCGCTTTATACATCACATTACATCACCCACTACAAAACATTACAGCATTCTGCTATTTCATGCTATTTCCACTATTTGTGACTGCTCTCATCATAATCATCTCTATCCACTTCACCATCATCGTTTTCATTTCCTTGTTATCTTCGTTTTCATGATGTTTTCATGTTCATAATCTACAACATCCGAAACGCTACCACACCACCACTGGCGACGCAACATCAACAAAAGGTAGTTTTGAACAAGATGTGTCGCATGCTAAACAAAAACGGCTCCACCATACTGTCAAAGGTGGAGCTACCCGTGCCCGCTGCTTCTGGAACTAAGAATGTACAATATCTCTCGAGCCCTGAGCCTCCTGATTATCAGAATCCAATGACATCCACAATCATCATCGTTGCATATGATTACCTCCCCTACCCCACCGTGAGCAATATCATTCTCGCCGTTCGTCATCAGAAACATTATGTTAATCCTCATCCTGCTTGCTAGCCTTGCCGCCCTTGCTCCCCCCATCCTTACGCATTGATCGTCATCCTCATAGCAATTTTGAACCTTCTTGCCGTCCTCATCTCTGTGTCCTTGTGTTGCAATCACGATTGTTCTGGTGTTTCTTCTGGCGTCTTTTTCTCTTGTAGTTTGCCCTAGTTTGCCCATGTTTGCCCTTTATTCACCTTTCTCAGGTACCAGTTGCTAGGAGCCCCAAGCCATACGAGTAAGTACAGGCGGCAACATTTCTCCGCGTAATCAGCTGAAGAAATTCTGAGCAAAAGAAAGAAATCAACACAAAATACGACACTAAATCAAGGAGCTACTTTTCTTGCTAGTGACCGATACTGTTGAGACTTTCATCAATACCAGGCCTGCGCAGACATTTGACATGTTAAACATGGAGATGGAACGGGAATGTAAGCTCCAAGACATTGCTGGCAAGGTTCATGAATCTTCGGGGCAAGAGTCTTAATATGAAGAGCGACGGCATTACCAAGAAGTGCGTGGCTGAACGGTGCCTTGGCAGTTCGCAGTTGAATTTGAGATACTGCAATCAATTGATGCAAAGATTGGGGAAAGGATGGGAAAGGTAGAAATGTGTTTGATGATCCTTTCATGCGTCAAATTTGGAAGCAGAGGCGATCTTCATTACAAGAAACACTAGCAAAACAGGGTGGCTGTGGTCTTGGCTGTGAGACGTAACAAAATGATCGCAAATTTTGTGCAGAGCCAGGCTCTCCAAGATATGCGACAACTTGGAGGTGCAGCTCAAGGGTCACCAACTTTAGGTATAGATGTCATGTGATTTCATAGTTGAGTGCCTTTTGAGTGCCTTTGGGCCATCGGAAATTCACCCTTCTTGGCATGGTCTCAGCTTCTCCATTGCCTGGCGATGTAATTCTGGCGATTGTGGAGGTTGAAGACTCTGTGCTGGAGCATGTGGGTCACGTGATCTTCCACAGTGAGTCTGACATGTTTGGACTTGTTGAACCATTTTGAGGAAAACAATCGCTCTTTGTTGTTTGTTTTTGCGGGGTGTGCTGTACAACTTTGTGAATGCACTACATACTTAGTTTGGTATGGATTGAATTCATGCATGATGGGTATCTATCAACCATCCCCTTGAAGAAAATTAATGAAAACTATTTATAGCACTATATAGCTGATTTTATCCCATAAAAGAAGTACATCTTAAGATGTATCTATGGCACGCAAACTGAATTTCTTGAGGCTCTTTGTAGATTGTAAGGACACTCAACCGAAATTATGCCTCGTCTGATGCATTGAGCAACCACCTGACCATACCTGACCCTCCTACTAAGACAATGATGATGCGGCAGGCCTCAAGTCCTTCAAGAAAGACAACGCACCGAACACGGACGTTGTCACTTGTCTCGCTGAATATTTGAAGCCGAGCCACTGCATGCTTTTATCGTTGGAGAAATCTGCTGTACTTAACTTTCCCAGCAATGATCCAATATGATCCATTCCAGCTTGGCGCTGGGAAGTTCGAACTACAATAAAGAAATGCTGGGAACAGTCAGTTTGGAACAGTGAAGTATGTTTCAGAAGCTCTTCTAAGGTGACCTGCCAAGAGTTTTGCGCAGCTTGCTCAACCAATGAGCCTGTGCAATTGGGCACATTGGTCAAGATTTTTGACAAGGCCGATGGTGATTCCTGCCACAACTCAATATTCTGCATTCATTTTTGCAGCAAAATGGATTCAATATGATTGCAATATGATTCAATACTTTGGGCAATTGCACATCACCCAGCAAATCTTTCGATTGACCAGCAAGAGAGCAATCCTTTAAGGAGGATCTAAAACCCCTGAAGAGGTGACGCTTTGCCACCGGAAAACAAATAGGTGATTTGTGAGGAGGTTTGGAAATGTACTATGTCTTCGAAAGTGAACATGTAGTTGTTGTACCTTGGTACCTTCTTCCAACATATTCCACCCATAGCAAATCGTTCAAGAGATGCACAAAACTCCTTAAGTCCAGCACAGATTGAAGAAGGACCAAAGCACGGGCAAAAGGGGCCCAGAAATGCGACCAGAAGCCGAGAAGCCGAGAAGCCGAGAAGCCGAGAAGTCGAGAAGTCGAGAAGCCGAGAAGCCGAGAAGCCCGACACAAGCCGAGAAACCGAGAAGCCGAGAAGCCGCGAAGCCGCGAAGTACGACACAAGCTGAGAAGCCGAGAAGCCGAGAAGCCGAGGAGCCGAGGAGCCGAGAAGCCACCTGACAAGCTGAGAAGCCGACAAGCCGAGAAGCCACCGGACAAGCCGAGAAGCCGCGAAGCCGAGGAGCCGCCGGGCAAGCCGAGAAGCCGAGAAGCCACTGGAGCCGCCGGGCAAGCCGAGAAGCCGAGAAGCCGCCGGACAAGCCGAGAAGCCGAGATGCCGAGAAGCCACCGGACAAGCCGAGAAGCCACCGGACAAGCTGAGACAGTAGCCCTGGCACCCCCTCTGAACACTATGTTGCATCTTCACCATCACAAGACATCAACTCCCCAACCCCCTCTGAACAATACGTTGCACCTTGAGACATCAGCCCCGCCACCCCCTTTAAATATATATGTTGCATCTTCGAAGATCAACCCAGCGACCCCCTCTGAACACTACCTCCCCCCGTTAAACTTCTACATTCATCGAAGATCTTCAATAAGGGTTTAATTCTTTCAGCCCCGTTAAACTTCTACATTCGAACATCTTCAATTCGAAGATCTTCAATGAGGGTTCAATTCTCCCAGCCCCGTTAAACTTCTACATTCATTGAAGATCTTCAATAAGGGTTGAATTCTCCCAGCCCCGTTAAACTTCTACATTCATCGAAGATCTTCAATGAGGGTTTAATTCTCCCCAGCCCCGTTAAACTTCTACATTCATTGAAGATCTTCAATAAGGGTTTAATTCTCCCAGCCCCGTTGAACTTCTACATTCATTGCAGATCTTCAATGAGGGTTTAGTTCTCCCAGCCCCGTTAAGCTTCTACATTCATTGAAGATCTTCAATAAGGGTTCAATTCTCCCAGCCCCGTTAAACTTCTACATTCATTGCAGATCTTCAAATGAGGGTTTACTTCTCCCAGCCCTGTTAAACTTCTACATTCATTGAAGATCTTCAATGAGGGTTGAATTCTCCCAGCCCCGTTAAACTTCTACATTCATTGAAGATCTTCAATAAGGGTTTAACTCCCCCCAGCCCCGTTAAACTTCTACATTCATTCACGATCTTCAATGAGGGTTTAATTCTCCCACCCCCGTTAAACTTCTACATTCATTGAAGATCTTCAATGAGGGTTTAATTCTCCCCAGCCCCGTTAAACTTCTACATTCATTGAGGATCTTCAATAAGGGTTTAATTCTCACCACCCCCGTTAAACTTCTACATTCTTTGAGGATCTTCAATAAGGGTTTAATTCTCACCACCCCCGTTAAACTTCTACATTCATTGAAGATCTTCAATGAGGGTTTAATTCTCCCCAGCCCCGTTAAACTTCTACATTCATTGAAGATCTTCAAAAAGGGTTTAATTCTTTCAGCCCCCGTTAAACTTCTACATTCATTGACGATCTTCAATGAGGGTTTAATTCTCCCAGCCCCGTTAAACTTCTACATTCATTGACGATCTTCAATGAGGGTTTAATTCTCCCCAGCCCCGTTAAACTTTTACATTCATTGAAGATCTTTAATAAGGTTTAATTCTCCCCACCACCGTTAAACTTCTACAATCATTGAAGATCTTCAAAAAGGGTTTAATTCTTTCAGCCCCGTTAAACTTCTACATTCATTGAAGATCTTCAATGAGGGTTTAATTCTTTCAGCCCCGTTAAACTTCTACATTCATTGACGATCTTCAATGAGGGTATAATTCTCCCAGCCCCGTTAAGCTTCTACATTCATTGAAGATCTTCAATGAGGGTTTAATTCTCACCAGCCCCGTTAAACTTCTATATTCATTGAAGATCTTCAATGAGGGTTTAATTCTGACCAGCCCCGTTAAACTTCTACATTCATTGAAGATCTTCAATGAGGGTTTAATTCTCCCAGCACCGCTAATCTTCTACATTCATTGACGATCTTCAATGAGGGTTTAATTTTCCCCAGCCCCGTTAAACTTCTACATTCATCGAAGATCTTCAATAAGGGTTGAATTCTCACCACCCCCGTTAAACTTCTACATTCATTGAGGATCTTCAATAAGGGTTTAATTCTCACCACCCCCGTTAAACTTCTACATTCATTGAAGATCTTCAATGAGGGTTTACTTCTCCCAGCCCTGTTAAACTTCTACATTCATTGAAGATCTTCAATGAGGGTTTAATTCTCCCAGCCCCGTTAAACTTCTACATTCATTGACGATCTTCAATGAGGGTTTAATTCTCCCAGCCCCGTTAAACTTCTACATTCATTGACGATCTTCAATGAGGGTTTAATTCTCACCACCCCGTTAAACTTTTACATTCATTGACGATCTTCAATGAGGGTTTAATTCTCCCAGCCCCGTTAAACTTCTACATTCATTGACGATCTTCAATGAGGGTTTAATTCTCCCCAGCCCCGTTAAACTTCTACATTCATTGAAGATCTTTAATAAGGTTTAATTCTCCCCACCACCGTTAAACTTCTACATTCATTGAAGATCTTCAAAAAGGGTTTAATTCTTTCAGCCCCGTTAAACTTCTACATTCATTGAAGATCTTCAATGAGGGTTTACTTCTCCCACCCCCGCTAAGCTTCTACATTCATTGAAGATCTTCAATGAGGGTTTAATTCTCCCAGCCCCGTTAAACTTCTACATTCATTGACGATCTTCAATAAGGGTTTAATTCGTTAAACTTCTACATTCATCGAAGATCTTCAATGAGGGTTTAATTCTCCCAGCCCCGTTGAACTTCTACATTCATTGACGATCTTCAATGAGGGTTTAATTCTCCCAGCCCCGTTAAATCTCTACATTCATTGACGATCTTCAATGACGGTTTAATTCTGATCATGATGATGATGATGATGCTGATGCTGATGCTGATGATGATGATGATGATGATGATGCGTCGCCTGTCGTCATTGCAGGTCCGGGCAAAACCCAGGCATTTGCCGTATATATATATATTGCTAAAGCAACAAATTTTCTGGTTTCGTGGTTTCCAGAGTTTGCAGCCAAGACGCTGCAATTCAGTTCGTTTTTTGCGTGTTCGGTACATTCAAAAAGCAAGAAAGAGAATTTTGACCCTTCAATGTTTTGAGGAGGGTGCCAATGACCACTAGATTTGGACAATGTATGCAGCCACTCTTATTTCTCCTGTGCCAATCTAAGATTAAAAAGCTAAAGCCCAAGTGCCTGCTCCTCCACATTCATGTGCTGATGACTTCTCATTTTCTACAGTGATACAGGGCGAGTTGATTTAAAGACAAAATTAAATAAACCCTCCTATATTGCGCGCGCCAACTGAAACCCAAGACTTACAGAAACTTCACGCAGGCTTAGCCCAATTACTCATGCATTACGCATTCAAAAGCTTGCAATCACCACATGGCAACTGAAGATGGAAACATCGTTCAATCACTGCAATCCCTGATGCAAGGCATGCATCATGTGCTATATAGATCTAGCGTGTCGCGCCGCGAAGCAACGCACTGTGCACTCTTGCAGAAGGAAGCGTCGCAGCGCAAACACCGTCGCAGCGTCGCAGCGTCGCTCCCGCGTCGCAGCGTTGCAGCGTCGCAGCGTCGCAGCGCAAACAGCGTCGCTCCAGCGTCGCTCCACAGCGTCGCTCCAGCGTCGCTCCACAGCGTCGCTCCAGCGTCGCTCCAGCGTCGCTCCAGCGTCGCTCCAGCGTCGCAGCGTCGCAGCGCCAACAGCGTCGCAGCGTGGATCCCGCGTCGCAGCGTCGCAGCACCAACAGCGTCGCAGCGTCGCTCCCGCGTCGCAGTGTCGCAGCGTCGCAGCGCCAACAGCGTCGCAGCATCGCTCCCGCGTCGCAGCGTCGCAGCGTCGCAGCGCCAACAGCGTCGCAGCGTCGCTCCGGCGTCGCAGCGTCGCAGCGCCAACAGCGTCGCAGCGTCACTCCAGCGTCGCAGCGTCGCAGCGTCGCAGCGCCAACAGCGTCGCAGCGTCACTGGCCCAACGGCAGCGTCGCAGCGTCGCAGCGTCGCAGCGTCGCCGGCCCCTGGAAGCGTCGCAGCGTCGCAGCGTCGCAGCGCCACCCGCCCCCCAGAGCGTCGCAGCGTCGCAGCATCGCAGCGCCACCCGCCCCCGGAAGCGTCACAGCGCAACGTCGGAAACCCACGTTTCGGCCCCCTTTGCCCCTGAGAAGGACTCCAAACAAATAGGGCAATGAATGTTTCAGGGTTATTTCAGCGATTCAAGGGCTGAAGACAGCAGGGTAACAAATTATGCTGATGTTGGCATCACTTGGAGTCAGTGATTCATCGATTTATCGTGAAACAGTTCTGTAGCTACATGCTCTGCAGTCGTTCGCAATCCGCAGGACCGCAAGCTCGGGTGTCTCGAGAGCTTTTTCTTGGACAAGACGCTGGGCGAGGCAGCGTGTTGCAACGGTCAGTTCCCCTTGCTTCCCAGTCCCATTACAGAGTCATGCAAATACACACAAATACTGCATAGACTGTAAACATCGTTTTCGTGGGCCTGTGTCCTTGACAATTGTGTTTCGAAATTGGTGTAGGATGGTACTTATACTATCTTATACTATAATTACACTGTCTACTTTTGTGTTTAGCACTATTGTTACCGCTGTCGCGCCGGAGGTTCGGCGTGCTGCAGAGGCAGAGGGCGATTCGGTTGAAATAGAGGAGCGCTCATCAGATGATGTCAGATGCTGAGTATTTTCATTGTCATAGGACTCATAGGACATAGTCTAGGTCATGGTATTCAGATGTATTCAGCCCAATCCTCCTTCAATACCCCAGTTGCATCCTACTTACCTCGTTAAGAGCTTTGCAAGAAAACCACCACGTGCGCCCACTCGCTAAAAGTCGGGAGACGTTCAAGACAGATTTGATTTAACTTGAATCTAGGGCAGATAACCATAGGAGCGCTCCAAAATTGAAAAAGGCCGGAAGTCTATGTGTGAGCAAAGCGGCCAGAAAATATATTTGATGAACATGCCCTGGTCGTGCTACCGTAAACAATCACAACTGACCTGTAGTCAAAGAGCTGTCCACATGTTTTTGCGGCCATAGATAATCATATTGGAGGATCTCTCCGATCTTCGCATTTCAAATTCCAAATGTTAAGAAGGGCGATTCTTGGCCATTCAGAACCGTTCTCCGGAATACCGACTGGAGGCTCCTAGTCCTTGTCTGTTTTTTCGTAGTCTTTGCCAGTCTTTGCATTCTCATTCACCACTAGGTAGTTGACGACTTCTGTCACATGTCCACTACATCCCTAGAGCATGCTACTGACATGACTCAAACTCTTTAGACCAAGAACGCACTGGCCTTTTTGCTCTGAGTGATTGAAGTTATTTGTTTTGTGCGGAGTTATAAGAGTGATGTGCTATCTCGAGTGTTGTCAGTGTCTAATGCTGTCACGGTGCGACGGTGCCTGTTGCATAGGAGGCTGCTGATGACTCGGAGGAGTCACATGCGGCCCACTCCAGGGTCGTGCAGGCACACCATGGCACACGTACATCATGTCCTTGGATGTCTTGGTTGACGCAGAACATATGATGACGTCGTATGACATTTGGTTGTGATATGTTGTGATCATGTGATGCATAGAAATTCTACTGCCTATGAGACCTAATCACACCTGTTGGTAAAACGGACTTTCTTGCCTCATATACCATCTGGGAGATGAGAGTCATATACGGTAACGACATTTAAATATGTTGAGGGCAGGCCAGACCGCGAGGCCCCGGAGGTAGTATGAAATACCAGTTCGTATATTTAAATGTAGTTACCGCATGTTTAAATGAATTGGATTCCGTATGTTTAAATGGCCGGGCGGGCCAAGGAAAACCTTCCCGGAGGTAGTCTAAAAATACCAGTTCGTATATTTTAAAGTCCGTATATTTAAATGTAGTTACCGTAGCTTCACCATCACGTATGGCTGTTTTTGAAAATATGAAGCGCTTGGTTGCTGAGTGGTTGCTGTGGATGAGCCGCTCATTCCTGGAAGGCCTACAGAGATGTGCAGTAATCCTGGCTCCTCTTGGTGTGGGGTGACGTCGAATCGACCAATCAGTCAACTTGCAGAGTCCATGTGTTTTTTTGTCAAGATGTCATGGTCAATGGGGTCGACAATGTCAGACTCCTGAGCTCGTGGAAAGTCTTTTGTGGTTTTTGTGGTCGTGATTGGATTTTCCGTAAGCAGAGAAAGGCTTCGCTCGGTCGGTTGAGGCAAGCAAAGCCTGATGCAATATGAATGGCTTGTTTGCTTAGTTGTGTATTGGCACTGACTTCGCCAGATTCATGCTAAAAGACCTCGGCCGGATAGAGCAGTTGGCGTTGAAGACAGCGCAGGACAAATGAATTTCTCTGAAATCGATGTAGTATCCATATATGCTAGTCTTGATGGTTCTGCAATGCGAACAAAGGTGTGATCACAATGGATGGTCCATCTCCCCAAATTCTCTCTGCGTTCTGCCAGATTTCCGCAAAAGCAAAGTCGATTTGATATGATTTCAGAAATGATGGGAGCCATCATGGTGTATACAACAATGCTGGGAGATACCCGACTTTGGGCGACCGGCAGATGGGGGCACAATGTACTGAAGACCAAGACTAAAGAGATACTGTGTATATATATATATCTTTTCCAAGGTAACAAGATGAAACAAGATGGGCGAAAGTATTTCGATGACTTTAGTGCATATGTGTGTGTGTGCATGTTCTCTTGTGTGGTGTGTTCTTGCCATGTCAGCATCTTTTTCACCCGATTTTAGATTTGGTGGAGATTTCTCTCATTGTGTCCCAGCATTGAATATGAAATCGACGTAAATTATATAGATTATATGGTTCCTACTTGCAGCAAAAGGGATACCCTTTGATCCGGCTGTGAGTTTTGACGGTGGCGCACATGATTTGAGAGACTCGGTTTCTCTTGTAGATTTCAATTGCACAGTGACCCGCCACATGGACAATAGGTCAATGGATTTGCATGGGTTTACATGGATTTCGGGGAGCAGCTTTGAGAAACACCATGTATATATATATGTGTATATATATATATGTATTAATATATATATATATATGTATATATATATATGTATATATTTGTCAAAAGGAGCTCACTCAGTCTCTTTTGCTCCAGGACTTGGATGTGAATCCAAGCACCTTGGGTTTGGTCGGTACAAGCAATCACCCAGGCAAGCTGATGCCATTGTCGTTCATTTTCCAGTTATTTCCCAGTAGATTGTTTCTTTGGCGTTCATCAAGCAATATTTTCGATTCGACTCTTGTGAAAGCTGCTGCGATTTGAGGTGTAGCAGCACCAGCTGGAAGTGTACTTCCCAAATTGAAGCGCTCGGTTAGGGAGCTCAACATCCAGCAACAGAACGGGTTCAAGCTGCAAGACTGCTACTGTGTGAGTTCATTCCAAATAGATCCAAATAGTCGAAGGAAGTTTAGAAGTCAAACTTCCGACAATATGGACAGATGAAAAGCAGAGATGGGAAGAGTCAGAGAAGAGAAGAGAAGAGAAGAAGAAAGAAGATCAAAAAGAGAAAGTCTCCGAAGAAAGAAGATCCAGGTGCGCGAAAAGGTCGGAAAGTCGCGAAACACTGTGTTTTTCCAATGATTTGTGGCTCCAGAGGGTCGAAAAGTAGGCTCGCTAAAGCGGCGGGCGCGGAGCCAGCTGGCCAGATGAGAGATGAAAAATTGCACGCCGTCGTGGCGCGAAACACATGTCGAAGTCAAAATGCACAAAACACCTCACGTTCGGAGCACTTTTCGAAGTTGAGATGTCGAAAAAGTGCAGCCTGTTGTGGCGCGAAGCACATTTCGAAGTCAAAATGTACAAAACACCTCATGCTCGGACCACTTTTGGAAGTTGAGATGTCGAAAAAGTGCACGCTGCTGTGGCGCGAAGCACATTTCCAAGTCAAAAGAGCAAAAAAAATGAGGGGTGATGACTTTTGGACGTTCAGATGTCGTTTCGCGTGGCAGGCTCGAGGGATTGGGCACCTTGTCAAAAGCGACCAAAACGTGAGGGTTTTGTTGCAGGTTCAAAAACGATGGCAGGCGTGGGACATATGCAGAGGATATGGCAAGATGCACTTCGCGTGGCAGGCGCAGTACAAGAGACATGTTCATCAGAGCTGTTAGGAGGTCCGGGCGCTGATTTCCTGAGAGGGGTTGCATTTTGGAGCATCAGATCTTCAGTTTGGGGAAGATGATTTTGCGTGACAGGTGCAGCACTTCATATGGCCTGGCATCACTTTTTTCGTGGCAGGCGCAGCACTTTAGACAGATGGAGTGGAAAAACGCAAAACGCATTGGTACGAGGCCGTCAGCTCTGCACTCAACTTTCCATTTTTGAAGGAAGTCTCGCAGAATTGTTTCGTTTTTGACGTTGTCAACTTCGAAAGCTGAGGAAGTCTCACAGAAGTGTGTTGTTTTTGATGTTGTCAAAAATTGAGGAAGTCTCGCAGAATAGCTTCGTTTTCGAGCTTGCAGGTAGACAGATAGATAGATAGACACTACAACTGCAACTACAACTACAAGTACCACTACACTACACTACTACAACTACAAGTACAAATATACTACGCTACATTACACAACACTAATTACACTACACTACACTAATTACATCCAATGACACTACACTACACGACACTAGCTGCACTACAACTACTACAACTACTACAACTACTACAACTACTACAACTACTACAACTACTACAACTACTACAACTACTACAACTACTACAACTACTACAACTACTACAAATACTACTACTCCTACTACTACTACTA